ACGCCGGATCGCCGGCAAACGTTTACAGTTAAACTCTTAACAATTACGAATTACTTAATGAAACTCAAGACTAGCATTGATCAATGGCCTCCCCCTCAGGCTCGGGACTTCTTGCTCTTCAGCTTGAACCATCCCGCGCTCTTGTTCGGATCACGTGGAACAGATGTGGACCTGCTTAGTTCTGGTTTCGAGTTGACGCTCCGTGACTTGGTGGCCAACGATTCCGTGGAGACGGTTCTATCCACCTTCTGCTTGTCTTTCGATTTCAACGTGCTGCGATTGATTGTGCCTGGAAACGTCACGTTCTCTGTTTCAGGTTCGACGTGCGTCGAATGCTTACAACTAAAACTGCCACGCTGTTAAGGAACCCGAGGAGCGTCGACGATCTTTCACTATTTTTCTACGTTCTTTCTTATTTCAAACGAAACCAATCGAACCAGTGAATAGTTTAACTCGTTCACTACTATTATACCGATAACGGTTTCTTCCGAATTCCTCGAAAACGATCAACATAACATCCGATTGACGTCGATTTAAAACAATGCGAAGTACCATGATACTTTTCTGATACTTTAAATGAAGACTACCTGACTCGCGATGAAGATTTCGGGATTAGTTTAATAAACATGAATATTGTTCAATGCGCATGGATGTCTCGAAAGGAAATTTCTACATAAAGTGCAGTGGACAATTTCTTCGCGTTTCTTCTAAACTGTTGGTAGCAACATTTCGCACGAGCTTGGTAGCAGAAGTAAATAATACGGCAAGGGGTTAACGATCAATCATTGTTCCCCATATTTGTCTTTGTTAGAACGCAAGTGTCAGGTACTCGGGACGCTTAACATTTTCCGTGGCAGCTGAACCGTCGGAATTCCTTCGCGGATCGCGGAAGAGACAGAATCGAAAAGCGGAAAAATCAAGCGCGGCTTACCGGTTTTCGAGAGATTGTCTTTGCTTCGGCGCGGGTCTTTCCCACGGCGGCTCAGCGTCTCACGACTTCTCTGTCTGCGTCTCATAGTCGCCATTGACTTCGGATGCAGTTGCTGATCGTAGTTGATTTCAAAAGGTTCCCTGTAGTGTCTCGGCTTCCAGGGCGCGAGAACGCTCACGCTCCTCGATACCGTTCTCGTGTGCGATTGTAGGGGTCGATTCAGTTCCTCCCTGCTCGCCGCTCTGCGTCTCTCATTCGGGCCAGGTATCTCACCCACTGGAAACACGAGAACATTGGAGATTCCCTTTCCACGGAGTTTACGATTCAATGCTAAGTCATTAACGCAAACGTTGCAACGCCAAACAATTCATAAGTATTCCTACTTTTCTTTGCTACAAAAGACAAACTCTATGGGAAAGCGCTTAAGATTTTCGTGGCGCTTAACGCGTTAAGAACTCCTTTTCAACGAGCCTTTCGCGAGTCTCGCCAGGCGCCTACCTGTAGCAGCGTGAAGGTAGACCACGGATCTCTGCGATCTCTGGGAGTTCTGGCTCTGCTGACTGCTGTCCCCTGTCGTGCTCTCGCCGGAAGACAACGCGCTCTCGGCGAGTCGGGGTGGTTTCCGTGGCGGCGACAGGATTCCCAAGCTGTGACGGCTGGAGTTCGTAACATCACGCCCTGAGCAGGCATGGTCGTCGGCTCGTTTGCTTCTGGAAAGCGATCGATCGTCGGAAACGGTTGCGCAGCGATCAACGAAAAATAACACGTCAACTAACAGGTAACTGTTCTACTTGCACCACTTGCCTTCGTTACGAAGGTATAAGTGACATAAGTTTTTCATATAAAATTCATCCTGTTGCGAATCAAGTATTTCTACATATATATTTTACTGTCAAACAGCATCAAATATTAAATAGCTACTAGGAGATCAAGAATTTGATTACAAACAGTGTATCACACGTTTATCTCGAAGCAAAAGTAACTGAAACTGTCGCAAGGTGCAGCAGATACTTTTACTGGTGTTGATACACGAAACTCTGAAAATTCTCGTTGCAGTCGACGTGTTAACAGGCTACCAGTGGTCAAGTGTTGGCTTCCAGCAGATGAAACGTTAAAACGCAGACCCTGGCTCGGCTCACCTGCGATCTCTATTAGACGAAACGGACTCCTGATCGGTATCGCCGAAGAAACGCAGGTTCTTCTGCACGGAGACTCGTTCGGGGGCGGACGAGGCCTCCTCGTCCTCGGTGCCGGTCGTCAGGATCTCGCTCTCCGGTATCCTGGGCTTCTTATCCACCGCCTAGAACAACGAAATCGGTTATCGGACCGTTAACGGTCAACGGGCCCTGGAAGAATCGACTGACCCCGGACAGGTTCACGCGGAAAGAGGAGCCCTAAGGTAAGCCAGAGAACAATGGTCCACTTTTTCCCAAACACGACAATCACGAGCGTCATCAATAACAGAACAATATACATTTATGAACAGAAAACCGAAAGATATATACCGATGAAAATAAATACTCGGCTGTCCAAAGTTTCTTTACAATTTAGTTTACCAGAAATGTTCGAATGACGAATGAACATTTAGCCCTTTGCACTCCAGTGGTGACACCACTCGATTTGACACAGTAAAACTATAGAATGTGATATTTAATGTTTAACTTTGTACAATGACCCGATACATGAAATATTGGAACAAAATAGCTTTGTTCCTCAATGCACTTGTGACTTCCCTTTGAATTAGAGAATATCGTTTTCGGCTTGTCAGGAAATGTTAAATATTTCTAGCGAGAAGCTCCGGAGTGCAAAGGGTTAACTAAACTTATTCATTAAAGTTGCCAGATTCCTAACACACTCAACTCATCTGCCAGTAAAGAATAAAAATCCCCAACTACCTATACCATACGCAAACGTATTTCAAAATGAACTACATAGAAAATACACGAAGTTTCAGCATTACATAACTAAAACATTCGAATCCTCTCGAAATCCCAAACTGAGGATTCGCGCTTCTCAGGAAAAGTCTGTCCGAGTATGATGTAGACGTTCGACGATCTAAATGAAATCGGGCCCGATCAACGGAGGATCGGCTCACCCGTATTACCCTATCTTGGCGGCGTGATCGTGGGTAAACGCGAGACGCGGCGGAAAAAGCGCGGCGGTTTGATCCGCGGGCAGGAAGAGTTCCCCGGCGGGTACACGAAATACAATAAAGCCGTGCACAAAGGTGTGCTGTTCGCGCGGAAGGAGAAAAATCGGCGGCTTCCCGGCTGGTTTCTATCCGTGGCGCCTTCATGAGTCATGATCTTCCTCCGACCTCCTCCTACCCCTGTTCGCCCCCCCAGCCCCTGGCTCGGTTCTTTCTCGGGCCATCGGCTCATCCGATAGATCATCGTCCACAGCGAGATTCACGCGCACGCAATCATCCCGAACGGCCTATCGGAGCACGGCTAGGATCGGAATCGGTCCCTGACAGAGATTATTCCGCGGACCGATGGTTAAGCTAGGCAGCCCCCTGATCGGCACTTAATCTCGCGATTAAATTAAACCACAGAGCGCGGAGTTAGTTAAGCATTTAATCAAACTGGTAATTGGAGGTTGTACTGGCCTAATGGCTCCGCTCCGTAGCGACCCTCTGCTCTGACTGATGAATGCAACCTCGGCCTCTCGCTCGGCTCGGCTCGGCTCTGCCGGCGTACACCGATAACCGGAACCACGATCCCGGGCGTCCCGCTCGTTATCGGATGCGATTCGGAAAAATCGATCCGCTCGCCGGAGTTCATTCCAGTTTCGATGCCCCGGCGCTCGCGTAGAGCCGTGACCGCGGCCGCGCGCGATGACCCGCGATGTTCGCCCGAATCGCAGCCGAATTAACCGTTCGAGTGGCAACCACCGCGATCGCGCCTCTCTGGCACGCTGCCTAAAAGTGCCTATCGGTTCGTACGATCGAATCAAGTTTATTCATTCGATGATTTATCTTGACTTCTCTTATTGCATTCTTAAAAATGGAACAATAGAACGATTGTAGTATTTAGAATTGTTTTATGTGAAGAGCGTCGTTCAGTTTCTGAGCTGAAACGGATTTCTAGCGGATTTTTGGAAAGACTGGCACTCGAACGGTTATGGATCTCCTTTCGATCGCGTTTTGGCAGGTGGTAACGCGAATAAATTGTTTTGAGTATGAATATTCAATCGTTCTTAGAAACAATCCGCTTCGCAAACGAATTCATTCGTCCGAGCTAGAAATAACCATTTTTGGCGGAAGACTCTAATTTCACGGCAACGCGTCCCGGCACTGTGGAGGCGTTTATCGCGGCATTACGCATGCAACAAAGTTTAAATACACCGAGTCCATTCTCTACAAAAACATCGCCCACTCTTTACCAATTTCGGAGCGAGTCCCGCGCATACGTTCGCTGAATTTGATTACTTTATAGAACCGTTCCGGATGAATGATGTCACGAGCGAGAATAATTTATCTCCGCCGTCATTATTAAAAATCCCATCACGTACCATTTTGCAATTCTAAACTAGGCGAATGTTTTATACATAATAAATACTCCTCGCGATGTCTACGGGGATAATTCTGTACGTAGAGTTCACTCGTTCGATACACTTACAGTATATTTAACTGTTTCTCATGCTTTCCGTTCAGTTTCTTTAAACGTTTGCATGAATTTTCTCTTATAATAATCAAATAATAAATAATGCCGTGATTGTATCGAAGGCGTACGTACTACAAACTGTGAAAGATATATGAAAATCATGCTAGATGTTAACAATGAAAATGATTATAACCGATACAGGAGAAATGGGAATTTTTCGTATCGATTCCCCACGAAAATCGAGACTTACTTTGATGTTAGACTTATTTTTCCTGGACAGAGACTTGAACCATCCCTTTCTCTCTGCTTCTTGGCCCTGGTTTTCTCTGGTGAGGGTGTTCGACGAATCGCAAAAGCTCTCCTCGTCTCTGGTCAGTGTACCCGTAGATCTCGACAGCCTCGTCGGTCTGGATGGACTCGGACTGCCGCTGGGAGTGGATAGGCGTCTGCGTTGGCTGTACTCCTCCTGCGAACACATCGAAAACCGTGCATTTTACTGCGATTGTATTAACTTAATCACGACAGTCTAATTGCCAGTCAACAAACATGTCATCCGTTTTCCCACGTCGCGACTGACTACACAATAAACTTCGCATAGAAAGCCCCCTCGCAGTTCCTTCAGAAATCGTAGCTTAATACAGCAGTTCAACGTAATTACAGTAGAAATGGATAAAATAGTCAACTACTGGAATAATATCAAATACCGAGCTAGCCTGCGGGAACTTCAGAAAGTTGACAGGAAAATTACGTCAATCACAAGCCTCTCACCGCCAAACTTAATTCAGATTCTTTCAAACGGTGATTTTAACCCTTTACTAGCTTCTAAAACTGTTTCCACGAACATCTGCGCACCGAAATCTTAAATATTCTAGAACAATGGCTACCACGCTTCAGTCCCCATTATTCGTATAATCAAATCATTCACTTCCATTCTAGACAGCAGACCTTCGAGTCGCCATTACTACGGAAATCCCCATTACTCGAACAAATTATTCGCTTCCATTTCATAGATATCGAAGCTTCAGTCGCCATTATTACGGCACTCGAGCGAGAAGCGTCAACGATAAGAGCTAAAGATACATTTCCGTGCCAAAGTATAGATGATACATTAATGATTCTTAAGAAGAATTTATTTTACCCAAGCATCCAACAAATTCTCCATAGGGGTGCACAATTCACCCCAATCATCGGTACGAAAAGATTCGAGCACTGGTAGCCGGAGGGCTCGCCTCGTTTCTTTCCTCCCAATGATTCCCTCAGCGAAAGTCGCGGGGTGGGAAATTAGATAGAGATAATGGCGGTTCCCGCGACCAGCCGCGGGGTAAGGCACCGCGGTCCCCCGGTGATCGCGTGTTCATCCCGCTAGCCGAGATCGCGGGGCGAGCGCGTCGGTGCCGGGCCGCATAAAACTCCGAGAAACGCGGGACGCGGGGCAGACGCGTGTCCGTTTCATTCCCGGCGACGTCTACGTCGTCATTATTATTATCATGTTTCGCATCAGCACCATCATCAACGCTGCCACCTCCGTCATTTACCCTCGGACTCTCGCATGCATAACGCGCCCGGTACCGGAGAGAGGCCGCTCCGGGCGTTTTATCGCAACTCTGCCTGTTTATTCATCGATACTCCACAAAAGAGGCCCCGTACCGGGGCCAGCGCGCCGCGCCGCTCCGCGCCGCGGCTATCTAGCGTGCTCTATCCGTGTTCCTCTAAGAAAATGCTAGCCCCGGCCGGGCCGGGTACGATTCCCGCCGGGGAAAAGCACGGACCGATACGACCGGCCGGTCTCCTCGTTCGGCCTCGTTAAATTCTATCCGATTGTCCTTGGAATTACGTAATTTTAGTCGCGCGGCGAGCGGGATCCGCACCGCGAAGTGTTTTTGCGGAGTTTCCTTCTCGCGCTTGGATTCAGCCGCGGATTGTGAAGTAGAAAACCGATGGATCGAGATTATATATCGATTGCTTGAACAGAGGAAAATTCGAAGTATACAAAGCGTGAGAATATGCAAAGATGAAGCTAAATTATATATCGATCTATTCGTTACAAAGTAACACCAGTAAGAACCTCTCGAAATATTCACACTCGGCTAACCGAGACTCCTGGAGCCACTTGTTCCAGAATGCTGTTACACACAAGACTAAGCGCTATTAACTCGTCCGCATTTCAAAATTCAATTTCGCCTGGGAGTAAATCTCCTCCCCCCGTGCGGAGCGTCGTTACTCTATCCGCGGCGAGGGACACCGCAAATCGTAACTCTCCGGTCCTTTGGCCGGGTTTCCAGGAAAACTCCGAAAGACACGTTTATCGCAGGCGAGCAGCAGGCGCATACACCTGCGCTCGTTATATATTCGCCGCAGAAAGGCCCGCGCTCGGTGTGTTCCCGTCGCGCAGGCGGTGCGGCGCGGCGCGGCGCGGCGCGCGAAGGACCCGCGAGCTACGATCCACGGGAATAGAGGTTTCGCCGGCCGGCGTATACGCGTTACCCGGCGGACCTTTCGATACGCAATATAATAACATATCGCGCGTACGCGCGGCCCTGGGCCCGTACCCACCGCATAAACTCTTAAATGACTCACAATGAATAGCCCATATCACGGAATCATCTGCATAGTACAAGCACGGCGCGCTTCCCTCGTACTCTCCATATATACGAGCAACAATATCCTCGGTATGCTTTCCATAACGAGTCGTGGCACGTACCCGACGACGACGAAGACGACGAAGACGACGAAGAAGAGGACGACGACGAGGACGACCGTGGATGAGAGGACGAGGACGATGACGGCGAGGATGAAGAAAATGAAGAAAACGAGGGAAGGAGGGGAGAGACCGCGATGACGACGAGGACGGAGACGACGATGATGAAGAGGAAAGAGAGGGAGGAGGAGGAGATGAAGAAACACCGAGGATTTTGTACCCCGGAGGCATTGTGACCCACGCACGGCCCTGTTAACTCTTACAGCGCACCGGTACCGGCCTTCCTCTTCTACTCTTTTCTTTCCCTCTCCCGGTTCATTCTTCTTTTCCCTCGTCTCCCGCGTGTCGGCCTCTCCGCCGCGCTCTCGCCGGGGCCCACGGAACGCGCTGCGCGCGGCTACTCCCTCGCTGGGACTCGCGTGGGCCGTCGAGATTGGGCTAGGTCGGTTATGCTCCTAACCGCAACTCGGCCGTCGTCCGACTCGCCGTCGGGCGCGTGCACACGCGTGCTGCCTCTCCGTCTCTCTCTCTTTCTATCTACTCTTCTGCGCCACTTCGGACCCCACCGTGCAGCTTCTACAGGGTGTTCGATGCGTTGGGCCCGCGACCGGGCCCTTGTGTGACTTTCGATGGAGGTTTCGGTGGAGGTGTGTTTGAACGGTTTTGTCGGATGTCGGTGGGGATTTGGGTTATTTAGTCTTTGCAGACGGATGTTGGTATCTCGACTGGTGTCTTAAATTGTGACTAATATTGGTTGTCCTTATTCTGAAAGGATTAACTGATCGTCGATCGTTTGATTCGATGTAAGAGTGTTTGCGTTATGAAATAGTTTGATTATCCTCGATTAATTTGGTGACTATTGTGGTAACGAGTAAAGATTGATAATAGAAAAATAGACTCGAATACAAAGGACTATAGATGAAAGTTACGTCTATCGAATTTTGTTTGAATGCTTCGTAGCAAGGTCGACACTGCAGCAAGCTGCACGCAACGTTGTTCCATAATTTTCATGACACGCGTAGAATATCGAAGTATTCGATGCTTCTCGAACTTTTAAGGATTTACCGGTGACTTCGGTTCCAAGGCCAACGATAGGCAACTTCGTAATTTAAGTCGGTTTTCAATAAGCGCCGGGCTTTTTCATAGAACGCGAAGAAAATTACAGGCCTGCCGATAAGGGAATTAAGATCACCTTCCACGCTCGTAATTTACTCCCAACACTGGAAACGCTCGGTTTTAGATCATCCGACGTAAAACGCCGGTGCTCCACTCGTTTTTCAGTTACCGGCAAATTGCTGTTTGATATCGGTGTGAACGTCCTGTATGCAGATTCGAGCGTGTATCGTAATAGGCGCACGCGTGCGCGCGCGCCGAGCACGCTCGCCCTGTTCATCCTCGGCGCATAACTCTGCAACATTAAACCGTCCGCCGTAGGTCAACGTAGATTACGCATAAATTCAGGGGAGAGACGATTTACGACGTCAACCGACACCCCTTTTAACCTCGCGGATTTTCTCTTCCTTTGTCTAACAATGTTTCTTTCGCGGGAAAGGGGAACCCATTAACGGAGAACGTCGCGAGCTCGGGGGAAACCGTCCGCGAGGCGAGCGTTCGCGATCGCCGGGATCAATTAATTCGATTTTAATGAATCGCGATAAACTCGCCAATCGCTCGTGTCTTTCCGGATGAAATTATTCGGAAATCATCTGCGAGTTCCACTGTAATGTAATAATTGACTGACATTAGCTACCAGTTAATAGTATAACATTAGCTAATATTACATGTAATAGTATAATATTAAATAATACTAGACATAATATCGGACAATATTTAATTAACAGTTAGAAGCAACTATTACAAACCGAAACCACAACAGTCAGCGACACGTCTCGAGGCTAAATTTCCAGCTTCCCTCGTATCCTCGGAGATAAGAGATGAAAAGAGTGTAATCCGCTCGAATCCCTCAAAAACTTCTTCCTGTAGTTATGATACGCATCACGCGAAAGTTATCGCGACCGGAGCTAATTTCACGGGGAAAAAAGCTCGAGTTCAAGGCGAAAAGGACCAGCGAAAGCCAGAGACACGCGAACGCAAAAGGAATAATCGCCGACGCGAAGTGTCAGCCATTACTTTCGCGGGGACTCGGCTTCCGCGGCTGCCGGCATAATATAAAACTCCTCGGCCGCTCGTTCTTTTCTTCCGTTCCCGGGGCAGCAATTACGCGAAAGCACGAAGGAAAGCGGCGGCCGAACGTTGCATCGCGCACCGGCCGCGTATTAATACGGCAACATCGACATTAACATCTACGAGATTCTCATCATCGATAACACGCAACCAAGTGGGGCTCGAAATCGCCGCGTAAATTCTCCCAATTAAGCTCCTTCCCACCCTCTGCACGGCGTTCACCTCTCGGAAGCCGGGGAGGCGCTCGCGCTGTTTTAACGAAGTCGATCAGCATCTTTGTACGCCGGCCAACTGTTCACCCTGCTGCCTGGTGGAGCGTTCCCTTTTTATCTTTTCTACCCTGTTTTCCCTGCGCGGCCGCTTTCCGGTGGGCAGCGCTCGCGCGGCGACGCCGGCAAAAAACTCTTCATCTTAAATGGAATGTACGCAGATTGAAACTATCTGCCTGCGGGTCTCGAGTTTTCTTTTGGAATTAGCTGGGAGAGCCGCTCTCTCTCTCTCTCTCTCTCTCTCTCTGTCTCGTTGAACTGGCGATGGTGTCGTAAAATCGAGCGGACGCCAGGCTAGGGGCGGGTTTCAAAGGA